TGCCTTTCAAAATGTAAACATTCAGTTTATAGGTTCCAGAAGCTGCAACATGGAGTACGGACTATCGAAGAAAAAATACTTACCGAATGAGTCATAACGTCATAATTACCAAATAATAATGAGTCAAAACAGAAATACTATACATAAAATTATTGATATAAAAAAGTTAAAAGAAATACGATAAATTAATTAAGATAAGTTTTTTTCCTCTAATCTGCATCGAGGTTAAAAGCAGACGATTCACTCAACTCTTCGTTCAAGCTCACGATTCATGTTGTATTTTCTGAGCTTTGTTATTTCATGAGATTGTTTAGTGCTGCCTTTTTTTTAATCCGGGTATTTTGTGTATAAATTAAGAATATTTTAAATTCCAGCTTTTTTTAATACAATGACAGATAAGAAATGCATTCATGATTTTACTGCTTGCAACGTTGAAAAACATAAACACGTTGCATTGACGGTAATGCAAAAAGTGCAAATTATACAAAAGATGGAGGCAGGTGCTCGATTTATAGCAGAATGGTATGGAATTACAACACGATTGTGTATGATGTACGGAAAAATAAAGAAAAGCTGTTAAAATTTTAAAGCAACAGTAATTCTAACACTAGAATCCGAAACCAGAAATCTTTGCGGATTTCTGGACTTCTACTGTATTATAAAGTTGGTTATCGCATGAATCTTTGACTATTTTGTGAAGTTCGAGCCAAGTTTCTCTTGTGCTGTCAAATCTCATTACCTTTTGTAAAGTACCTTCAGTCATAGCGCAATTATTGGCTTTATTAAAACCTTCACGTCATCTCTGTATTTCTTTCAAATCTCTTTGGCAGCGGCTTGATCAGACACCACTGTTTTTTTGTTTTTGTTTTTTTTTTTTTCAATTTTCCTTCCACTACTTCTAAAGCATCTTCATGATAACTTATTACAAACTTAATTCGATATTTCCAAATAGGCCAATCACTTTTTCCGCATAATGGCTTAACTGATATCTTTGCAGTTTCCATTTTTGCAAACTAATTTGCTGAATATTTACCACTAACTTTCATCTCCACATTCTTTCTAAATTTTTTTGCTCACTTAGAGCATGCCTGGTGCCCATAACCTGAAAAAGTGATTCTAGAACCAAAACAGAAAACTAATATGAGAGCAAAAGTTGTAAATTTTAATTGGAAATAAAAGTAAAAGTTTAACTACATTTTTAGGACAACAACGTCGCTAAGTGCGATCTTCTGATTTCCAGGAAATTTCAATCCTAAGCAGTTTAAGCGCTTGGTTTCATTACTATATTTTTTTAGTCCATTTCAGTCATTTAAGAATTTTTACTTTAAAATACTTGTTTTAAATTTAATTATTAATTTCAATTTATGATTATCTCCTAGGGAAAAAAGTGTAAAACTACTGCAAATTGAGACAGGAATAAGGCAAGTTTCATAATACATGGAATTTGCCTTATTAATGTCCATTTTTATGGTCATGTATTTGACTCTTTTCTTCTTTCACATATGGAATTTGCTTTATTAATATATATTCTTATGTTTACACATTTGAAAGAAAAAATTTGAGTTTCATTTGAATTACATATATTGATCCAATATACTAAATTTTTATCTTCAGAACATCTTATAATGTAGGTACATGTTCATAATAAATGTGTTACTACGTATCGTGTTTTTAAAGTAAGGGCCATTTGGTTGTATATACCAGGGGTGGCCAACATTTTTGTATATAAGATCTATTTTTATTTTAAAAGTGTGTCGCGATCGACTCGTTGTCATAGGTGTAGTCTAAGGGGAAAGAAGGGTGTAAAATATATACAATGTCTATACACTGTGTTTCAGTATAAGGTGTGTTCCAGAGAGATATGTGTAGATAGTAAAATATATGTTCAAAACTATTTTTTATTTTTTAAATCACTTATTAAGTTTTCGAGATATAGGCTCATGAAGAAAATAAATTTATAGATACAACTTTTAATAGCAGCAATCCGTTTATGCGTTACCTAAAAAAATTCGACTTTCCTATGCTTTTTCAAGACAGATGTTTACTAACTTAAAATGCAATTTATTTTTTTTTATTTACTGCCATGTATAAGTTGTTGTACTATTTGCTCGTTAATATGAAAAGTTATAAAAATGCACATTATGGCTGATAATTTGAATTCAGTATTTCACTTTCGCATTTTTCTGGGCCAGGGGAATTTATCATGAAAGAATAACATGGCTCACTTTTTTCTAATCTATCACTAGTTTGCTGAGTACACCTCATACTGAAATACAGATATAAGGTTTATCTACCTACATAAAATAAAAATAAAAAAAATAAAAAAAAAAATAATTATTTAAGGATTCCAAAAACTAAAAGGGGAAAAAAAAAGAACATGGATAATTATTAACAGTTATTTATTAATTCAAAGTAGGTATAGATAAAGACAGATTTAGAATTTATTTTGATGCTTTAACATCAGTGGGAAGACTGAGTTTGCACGTCCCTAACCAAGGAATCATAATTACGTGTATATTCTGACAAAGATGATAATAATAATGAGTCTTCAGTATGGGAATCAGTCGGGGCAGAATGTTATTTAGTCTTCATTAGTTTCAAGTATGAAAATGCCGATTCGCATAGGTATGTAGATCCGAAAGAAAAATAGATCATTCGCTACATTTAGTGACACTGGGATATTTTTCTCAGTTAACATATTTCCAATCTCTTCAAATTTTCGGGCATGTAAGATGAAGTCAGTTTGTAAAATTATGATTTCATTTTCTAATGCCTTTTGATCCATATGAAATATGTCTGAAATTTTTTGGCTAATGCGTTTCACACTTAAATCTTTTTTAAAAGGAAAAGATATGAATTCCACAATTTCTTTAACTTTTTCAAAATTCTGGAATCTTTTATCTCAAAATCTTCAATTTTTGGATTTCCGCGACATATTTGTTGATCTTATAATTAATATTTTTGTAGGTTATCTGCTATATTTGAAAAATGATTCAGATTATTTTGTTGCAGATCTTCTATAAGCAAAATTAATTTTGTTTTATATGCATCTATGCAGCTGATCATATCAATTACTGTTTTATTTTTACCTTGTTATTCTAAATTTAAATGACTTAATATTGAAGTAAAATCAGTAAGAAATGCTGTCACTAAGACAAGTTTCATCATTTAAATTTTCAGTTTCCATCTTGTTCGTGAAGAAAATCTATAATTTCTGGCAATAAATCACAAAATTGCTGCAAAAATTTACCTATGCTAAGCCATCTGACATTGGTATGTAGTAATAATTCAGGTTGGCCTTCATCGAGCTGCAGTTGAAAGATACGTCGTTTGAGGGAACTTTCTCGAATTGAATTGACAATTTTAAATGCTGTGTCCATTATCTCTTTTGTGTTTAGTCTCTTGCTAACCAACACTTGCTGGTGAATTATGCACTGATAGCTTAAAAAGGCAGGGAATTTATCTTCCTTTTAAAATAAGGCTATAAATCCATTTATGCTACCTATCACTGCAATTGCGCCATTCGTTGTTTATCGAGACTAATTTAAAAAGTTTTACTTTCAAATCACTAAGCAAGTTTTTAAAGGCTTTGAATATGTCCTAACCTCTAGTCCTTTCCTTCAAAGAAATCATACCCAACAATTCTTCTTTAGATGTAAAATTCTTAAAAACCATACTAATGAAAACAAGTAATTTTGCCATGTCACTTATATCTGTCAATTCATCACACTGAAGGGAAAAACAGGAACATCTGTTAATATCATTATATAACTGCTCTTTTGCATTCCCACTCATCCTTTCAAATTCGTCGCATCACTGTGTTTCGAGATAATTTTTGATCTTGAATTTCAGCAACAATTTCACTCTTTTTCTGAAAATCATTAAAAAGTGAATCTGACATTTCTAGAAAGCATTTCCTTTATAAATAATTACTGTGTTCACAGCAATTATTTGCTTACGCTTCACCATAAGCACTCTTCAAACGGGTTTCCTGAAGTGTTTAGTCTAGGACGTTAAAACGGCTGTGAACTCTTCGTTATTGGAGCAGGCAGCAAGTTTTTATGATACGGGTATTCAAAATCTAGCTCTAAGTTATAATAAGTGTTTAAATAAACTTGGCAACTATGGTGAAAAATAGAGAAACATATGTAGACTCTGAAAATAAATTTGGTTTTTGAAAATTTTCTTTCATTTGGTTTTTATTTTCAAACGGCCCTTACTTAAAAAACACCCCTCGTAGTTCTTCTCATAAACTGACCCACAATACTTAGAAACTTTTCAGTACAGATAGGAATCTAAGTATATACCACTAATAAAAAAATACTGTAAATTATATATTTATACACAATGAAGTTTTATTAGTAATATAAAAGCATGATTGTTTTAAATACATGATACTTTACTTTTCATAAGCTGTAGCATAGATAATATTTGTTAATTTAATGATTTTATTTTGTCAATCTTACTACTTTAATCAGATTCACAGCATGCTTCTGCTATTTAATTTAGACAAGGAATATGTATCAAATTGATTTACTCTTATATTTTTTTAAAAAAATTATACAGTTTTAATGCAAATTGGAATTATTTTAATTATTTACTGGAAAGACTTGACAGCAGTAAATATAATTTCAGCTGTATTTCGTAAAAAACTTGTTGTGCCTTTCAAGTTTAAAAGATTTTATGTATTAAAATGCCTGGAATGTAGCTAAAAAATCATTCAAGAGTTAAAAGTCAATTACTTCAAAAGTGAGTAAGACGCAATGTAAGCCAGGAGCAAGTAAAATATTATAAATGGTAATATAGCCAGTATTACGTTTTCATATATCTGCATTTAAGTATTAAAAAGTGGTCTTTTTTAGTAGTGAAATTCTCTTTTATTAACTTTCGAAAATATCTATTATTCTGTTTAGAATGTAAATAATTTAAAGCTTAATTTTCTTATCTAGGTGCTTTGTATGATTATTGTAATTTCTAATGTACACTTTTTCCTCTTCCAGTGTGGCTGGCCATTTTCTCCTAATTTCTTTTTTGCATGGCCTTTAGCTCATATTTCTTCATCTAGAAAGACTGTTGAAAAAGTAAGTTAATGATAAATGGAATAAAGAGAAAAAATTGCTGTAATAAGCAATTTCATTTCAAACCATATTTCTATCTTATATTACATTGGAAATGATGCATATGATTTCAAAGTTACATAAAAGCATATTATTGCAACAATACTTAAATGGTATTTAAAGGAACTGCAGAAATTCAGCTTGATTGAAACTTTAAAAAAATTTCTAGTTAAAACGTGCCAGTTTTCAAAAGGTTTATAATGTAAGTTAACAATTATGAAAAAACCCATTATTTTCTAATTTTCACAATAAACTTCCATTCTTGTTAATAACAACATTACAGTAATATGCATATTAATAGTACTTACGGCGGCTTTAAGTAATTTCATTTCAAACTTCTTTTTATGTGTATATGTGTTATTTCTATCATAATTGTATTCTTTACTCGTTTTGTACTTACTTAAAAAACACCTTGTTTGTTACTATGAAATATTTTTAAGTATTATTTTCATATCTGTATGCCAACTTTTCATTATAGCATTATTATTATATTTGTGTTTCATTTAGTTATGATAACTGAACATAAGTTTATAATCTTATCTGTAGCTATTGAACTGCTGAATGAAACGATGTAGAAATAATAAATTTTTATCGTACCTATTTGTGGAGATTAAGATGTTTTAAAATCTTATAACTTCTGTTCATAAATAATACCAATGCCTGAATGAATAATACTGCTGAACACTGGAAGTTTGGCCTAATTCGAAATTCTGGGAAACAAGCTGAATGCATAGACATTTTCATAATTTTACCCATAGTAATGTAAATATGAACCAGTTTCCTTGAGAGTTTCCATAAAGGCATCTTTTCCCTTAGGCGCTATAGCTATCCCTATAGCTTTTTATCATCCTATAAATCTAATAACTAACTAATAAAAAGACAACCAAATTTGTTCATAAACATGCAGAAGCCATATGTTTTCTAGTTTCTAATTGCTGTAGTAGTCTTCTTTATGCAGTTACTCTTCAGAATTTCTGATTCTAATGTATATTATTTTCATCCTGAGACATAAATATTTCATTCTATATGTATATGAAATTCGTCTACGTAGTCTTTGTATTGAAGCTCTTTGCAGTATATTGGGTATATATATATATATATGTTATAATAAAAGCACAGGAAAGGAAAAGATGGAGCACTGTTGATGCGTAGTTTTTATTCTATATTGAAGAGGAAGTACAGTCAAAAGTCTTTAATCTGGACGTCCATAATCCGGAATGATCTATAAATGCGTTTACGCATGCGCATAATACGTTTACACATACGCGTTTAATGTATAACAAACGGTATAAGCTAAGATAAAATTATCTATTTCAGTTAATGTTGCAGATTGCATTGTTCCTTAATCTTCGGTGTAGTTGACTTGCTGATTCCAGGTTGAGCACATAGATTGACAGAGCAGTAGATATCTTGAAGATTAGAACATGAAGGCATTAATTAACTAATTTGCTTTCACAATCGTAGCCACAGTTTCGATGATAATTTTTCTGTGAAGCAGACTCACACTTTGATGATGTAAAACGCTTTTTTTTTTCCTATGGCCATACACTTCGTTTTTACTGACGCTATCATTTTTCGACTTGCAGATACTCGATATCCATTATGAATTTCCATTACACATGGAAATTTGAAGAGATGGTTGGTTATTGCAGATACTGCAATGACATTTCCACAGGAATTCCAATGCCCAGGACATGTGTCCTTTCGAATCAGTTATAATAAATTCAGGAGCAGGTATTTGGATGGCATATAAGTGTTGATCCATAACGACTAGGAAATTGGAGGCGAATGCAGATTAAATCTTCAGTTTTATTATCAGCAACATGTTGTGGGTACATAAAAGTTGGCATATTAAATGTGCCTGTTCCAAAGGGCTTACATTTTTGATAATTTTGTAGCAAGAAAGAAGCAGACAGACTGCAGTCTAGTTAAGGCAGAGAATAGAACCAGTGCAGAGAAAACACTGGTTAGCTCAAGAGGACAACCCTATTGATGGATATGTTTGTTTAGAAGTATTACGAGGCCTTCCAGTTTGGTAAAATCAGGACTTGTAAATGAAAGATAATAACGGTGAAACCAAAATTTCTGAAACTGCTACTCCTATATTTATTTTGTTAAAATATAATTTATCAATATTGAAATTAGTATCATAACTATTTATGTGCATTACATTTAATTATAAGTAATGATTATGTATAAGTTTCTTTTGGGATATTCTGTGATAACAAGAACCTTCCCTGAAGAATTATGATTATGTTAACACTCAAGCAAAGAGACTTTTGGACTGAAATGCTTAAAAATTCAATAGGACTCTAAAATTTAAAAAATTATTTTAAAGAATTGATATTTATAAATTTTACTTTACAGGATCAAAATTTTATAATTTATGTTCTTTTTTCATTTGCTGGTGCTTTAACGCTTTCTCTTTAAAAAGGCTTCTCTGTCGCTACGCCTTTTTCTTCTTGAAGGAGGGGAATATGTAAGAAAAAGTAAAAGATTAAATTAGCAGCGTAAATTAATTTCCCTTCTATTCTAAAGATAGTAACCCTTCTCTGAATTGCTATATTTCGAGAAAAATCTATGTCATATGACTCTTACGTAATTCTGGTGATGTAAACGGAACTAAAACTGCCAATAATAATTTTACAGCAATATTAACTATCCAATGAGAATGCTTTGCGAACCGAAACTAACTCAGTCTGACTTGAGATCTCATCCTGATTTTCACGCTTTGGCCTAGCTACGTGGCTGTTTGACTGCTTTGCTTTCTTTCTTATTGCAAATTTATCTAAAATGTAAAATCTCTTGGAATAGGCACAATTAATGTGCCGACTTGATTGTCAACGCAATATGTTTGCTAAAATAAAACTGAAGATTAAATCCGCTTTCCCCTCCAATTTCCTAGTCATTATTATGGATCAACACTACTAAGCCATCAAAATTTCTCCTCCTGCTCTTCAATTACTTCTGACTTACTGTTTATATTACATATATATACATATATATATATATATGTATATATGGGTATTTTGTATGTATATATGGGCATAGCATGCTATATAAACTGATTAATTCAGTACTTTTTAATTAAATTAAAAACTTATATTTATTTATACTTAAATAACTAAAGAAAGGAAATTGTTTGTGTTTATTTTGGAATAATATTTGTTTGATAAATTATTAATACTATAATGCTGAAGTCAACAACTTTTTTTATTAGGAGGGCGTATTTTAGAAATGTAGGAATTAGGTAGGCTACAGTAATCATAAAAATAAATAAATAATTGCATCAAAATAGATTATTATGATATTATCAAAATGAAATAGAATTAGTTTATGTGGATTGTTAAAGTTGCAACATTCAAATGCTGCTAACCAAGGGTGGGGGAAGGCAAATTACAGATATAAGTGTTACATACCATGGTTGGACAAAGTATATGAGGATAACGGAAATAGAAAATAGTTCACTGCATGCAGAATTAGATATTTCTAGCAGTCGAAAATTGATTCATTTAGTCCAGGGATAGTCAACCTTTTATACCTATGCCCTTTTTGTAGGCAGTAAAATTTCTATACCGCCCATCTTTTCTCAGTAATTTAATTTAGCACAAGTGCAAAGAAGTTTTTAAATTGAGGTTTAGAATATATAGTTAAATTTATGCATTTATTTATACTACAATTTAAAATATTCAACTTTTAATAGTCAGAAAATTCATTAATAATAAACAACAAAGCCATATAAATATACGGAAGGATAGCACTGCACAAAGGGAAATGGGCAAGTAGAGAACTAAATTTTAAGGGGTGTGTATATATCAACCATGCGTGTTTTGATCTTCCTTAATCATTATCAGACAAAAACCTCCACCGCCCATTGTGAAAGCTTAAATCCCCCACTAGTGAGCAGTAAGGACTAGGTTGACTCTTCATGATCTAGTCATTCATTTAGACATCGCTAAGATTCAATTTTTATCAAAATGTACAGTTGTTAAAATGGTGAAAATAAAACCAGAAATTTTACCACAAATCATTACAATTAGAACTGTTTGTTGTCCAGATACTTAAATTTAGAACTTAGAGATTTGAGCAGTGGATGCTTTAAAATTGCTTCGCAGGCGTGTTGTTGTCGACTACTGATCCAAGCCAAGTGCATTAATATAATAATTTTGTGCAATCAGATGTCAATTTTTTAAACATCTATAGAAGACTAGTTTTAATCATACAGTTATTTATGAATATTGTAATCTATATTAATATTAAAATATACTAAAAAATTACAATTGCATTCTATGATAAGATACATAGTAAAAATAATTCAGCCAGCTGGTTGACATGCTTCGAAGCATTAATAGTGATTGTGACTTTTACTAATATCATTTATGATTAAGATCAAAAAGCTGCCCAGACGGTATAGTGGTTATGGGAGCCTGACTGTGATATCGAAGGCCAAGTTTCAAATTCCAGAGAAGGCATGCATGCAAAATTGTCCCTTCATAGAAGGTAGCGTTGGCCACCTATTAGGTGCCTTCACAATAAAATGGCCACCACTTCTGGCCTTAGGAGTGGCCAAGGCCTTTATATGCAAGTGCCTGCCATTGAGGGGGGGGAATCAAAAATAGAATTTTCTTAATCCTCTTCCCCTCCTTTAATGACAACTATTGTAGCAATAATCTTAAATTAAATATAAGAATTTCAAATGACAAAAACAAAAAGCATAATACAGTACACTCCCGATTATCCACGGAATTGGGTGGCGCGGCCGCCGCGGATAATCCAAAGAAAGCTAGAAACGGGTATAGCAAAAGAGAAAACAGTTATTCCAACTTTGAAAAATCGTTTTATGTACAATAAAACATAAAATAAACAGCAGGAAATATTTAACTAATGCTTAATATTTTATTAAATCACTCAAAACTAACCTAAAACGCATTTTGTTAATGCCAACAGAAAAGTGCTTTGTATAC